ATCCTGGCACATTCAAGGCGAGGACTTTAGCAGCTAGACCACATTGCCGGGCCCTAAATAAGTAAATCTTAAGAAAAAAAAAAAACATGTTAATGAGATTTACTATGTTAACATGTTCAGCTACTAGGTGAGACAGTCTGTCCATGTGACCTAGGGAAATGGGAGACAGAGAAATAACTAGTAAGCATGTGGCCTGGGACAGCAATTGAGGATGGCCTAAATCCTTGGGACCCTGCACCCACGTGCGAGTCCCAGAAGAGCTCCTGGCTCCTGGCTTCAGATTGGCTCAGCTCCAGCCGTTGCACTCACTTGGGGAGTGAACGGAAGATCTTCCTCTCTCTCTCCTCCTCCTCTTTGTATATCCGCCTTTCCAATAAAAATAAATAAATCTTAAAAAAAAAAAAAGTGTACCAGAAAGCTTTGAAGCATTAATAACTTTACTCAAAAATGCCACATTTAAAATTCCAAAAAATTTTAGGGCAGTTGTAAATGTAGCAAGAAAGGAACCACTGGACAGTCACTGGCTTTCCAAGTCACCTACTACAAACATGTGGAGATGTAACAAAACAGGAATTAGGCAATTTAAAAGCCAGTCTATGGATAAATACAGCTAAGAGCATCACTATTTAATTTAATTCTGGACTACAGAGTACAGCACAAATACGAACTTAGCACAGAGAACTCTGATTTCAGCTCTGTGTTAACACACACCTTGGGAGATGGCAGATGATAGCAAGTACCCAAACAGCAGACCTGGACTGAGCCCGGCTCTCGGCTTCAGCAACACGTACAGAGTGCACCAGAAGGCTGGGGATCTTACTCTGCCTTTCAAAAAAATCACACTTATTTCCGAAGTGTCAGACTCAACGAAACAAAGCAGATGACTATCTTCTCTCTACCCTACCTTCTGTTTACTTTTATCCTTTTTTATTTTACATATTTCCTACAGCAGTCTAGCACCTCCCACCCCCACCTTAGTCTCCCACTTGCTCAGAGCTCAGTGTCCTTCCCTGGCCCCATGAAAAGCTGCTCTGCCAAATTCTATGCTTAGCCTTCACCTTACCTGGACCTACACACCACTGACCACCAGGAAAACTGCCTCTTTTTGGATATCACCTCTTTGGATACCTATAATATGACTTCTATCTTCTTCCCATTTTCAATCTTGTTCAAAACTAAAGGCTGGATATTTCTTCAGGTTCCTCACTTGGTATCCCACCTCCTTGCATTAATTAACCTTTGGTCCTCGTTTCACATCTGTGTATGTGCATACTCTCACTTTCTGCACCAATGTCCATAATTCTCTACTGATTGTTAAATGGGGGGTTTACTTTGCCTCAAAAGCAAAAAGCTTCTGTTCACACATGCTTCCTGAATGATTGCACAACTCCTAGTACCAACTACATATAATGATTAAATCTATTAAGTCCCTCACTACTTTGCAGTTCAGATACCTATCAGACATAAGCCACCTAAGTATTTAAAAAAAAAGTTTAACTTAGCAGAATCAACATCAAATAACTCTTTCATACCCCAAATCTGCTCCTCTTCTTCTACTTTCTAAGTTAATTCATACCTACAGTCCTATAAGCTAAATACTTGAGACTCACATGCAACTCTTTGCAATTTTACAGCTCCTGGCTTGTCTATCCCTAATTCTGGAATCTTTGGATACTCATTTGCTTTCAACTCCCACATCAACGTTCACCTCTCACAGGGCTCAAGTGAGCTCTGACTGCACTTTTTTGACTCCCCTTCTCTAGCCTCTACATCTATGCTCCTCCAGAAAAGGATCCCATACACACCTTCCTGCTTTATCTATTCATCCAAATGTTCAGCAAATGTTCCTCAGAGACAAAGGGAAGTTCCAACAGCAACAAGTAAAAGCCTAAAGCTAAGCATCTCTGACCATTCTTAGAGCTCTCCAAGCTGCACAGCTCAGCTATATACAATTTGACCTCAAACATGATGCTCTTCCCAATTCATCCCTACTCATCCTTCAAACCTTGGCTTCAAGGTCTCCAAGAGCGTTCCCTCAAGCTTCCCAGAAAGAATTAGTTGTTCCTTGCTTCACAATCCCGAAAAGCTCTACATACTCCTAATTACTGCCATAAGACATGAAGGTGCTTTATTGGTTCATTAATCTTCTCTAAACCCACTAGGATGAAAAGTTAAGTCCCTCAAGGATAGGAAGGCCACAGACAGTACTTACATATCGGTTGTACAACAAGCATCCTTAGAACTCACTTACACTACTATTTTAACATGCTATATTCATATATTAACCAATTCTGCTACAATACTTGCTTTAAAAAAAGAATGTTCCAGTATGGCTGATGTTTATAGCCCATACCCTAACAGACCCTCGTTACATCCATAACCTTTTAAATTTATACCTTGTGGTGAGTGAGGGACTGAGTTTTCTGGCCTAAGCCTACCTAGAAGGCAAGCTTTTCTGAACACCTGAACTTTTATGTGCACCATTTTAAGACTTCCAATGTGTTTAATCTCGCCCATAAATACACCAACACTTAAAACAACCCTGTACTACAGAACAAGCATGCAGGGCCCTCAAGCCCACCCTAAAAGGGTCCACAGAAACAGGACACCAGTATCTTAGTTGGAACTTGTCTGTATTACTACTCTATACTATCTCAAACATGATTTGAGACTTACTATTCACATACTTGATGCTAAAGTGAACTCTAAATCACCTTGCTCTGCTGCTGAAGATATTCTCTCCTTTACTAGAAGCCAAAGGTGTAAACTTAACCTCAGCTTAGTAAGTTTGTTCTTTCAAACCCCAAGGGGGACACCCCTTGGCAGGCATTTGAAGTCATTCCCACTGTTCCAAGAGCACCTCCTCTCCAGTCTTATCCCAGCACTAGGCACCTGAGACCTACTGTCCCTTCTGCTAAGACATGAATCCCTCTCCTGGGTCACAGTGTTATCTGTGTAAACTGCTCTCATCTTCTTTACAAACCTAATCATTCCCTCTTCTGTTTTCTTACAGCATTGTATGCACCGTCAAAGTCTACACAGTCCAAAAAGCCTGAGTACCACATCTCAATTCTCAGTGTCCATCAGTGTGGCCAGCATATACTATTCCTTGCCACATAACTTATTAAGAAAAAATAAACAAACAAGGGAAAAGGCAGTGAGGATGATAAAGCAACCTATATGGCTCACCATCTAACACACAAATAAGTATTCTTGTTCATTCTTTTATAGTCTGATGAACACAGACTGGGTGTATGGTAAGTTAAACATGTCATTTCACAGTGTTTCATTGTGCTGTACTTTACTGTAAAATGGCTCCTTTCTGGTAGTCACTTTGTAGAAGCTAGAGAATTTTAAAATTAAAATGAAAACTCTTCTAGATAATGCATTAAGTTCCAAACAATCCTACATACACACAAATCTAAATATTTTTCTCCAGTAAAATCTGCTCTTACTCAATCTATTTGGACTTCTCCAAACTGATAAATGCTAGGTCCAACAATGGACATATCATTTGTGTTATAAAAGTGCTTTAAAAAGCCTAGAGTTGTGACACAGTGGGGGTAAACCGCTGCCTGAAACACCTGCATCCACAGAAGCACTGGTTCGAGTCCCACTTATTTCACTTCCAACCCAGCGTCCAGGCTCACGCACCTGGGAAAGATGGCCCAAGTGCTTAGACTTTTGCACCCACAAACGAAACCCAGACGGATTTCCAGGCTCCTGGTTTCCACCTAGCCCAGCCCAGCCCCAGTCATTGCAGCTATTTGGGGTATGAACCAGCCAAGATCGATCAACCTCTAGCTCACTCTGTCTCACCCTTCCCAGTCCCAAGGATACTGCTCTAAGCAGTGCTCACCATTTATTCAACATGCTTTAGACACAGGGTATGAAAAAAAAGGCTTACACTTTAAAGACTTTAATAAGGCTAACATGTGCAACGGGATGAATAACTGGATATCAACCAAAACACGTATTAATAAACTACAAGTAGAGTGAGTAAATTCTAACAACACCTTTATTCATAGTCCACGCTCTGTAAACCACAGCCCGCGTCAAAAAGAAAACAGAATAAAAGTTCCCAACTTTGGCAACAGTTTTAAGAAAACTGAAAATATCTTCCATTTCAATAGGCATCCCAAACCAACTTCTTCCACTATTTCACCACTCTCGAAGACACTTAGAATTATGGAAGGACAGATCTCACCAGAAGATCTCTAGTCTCCAAAGAAAACACATGTCTTTAGTCCCACTTTTTACCATCTCTCTGGCTTACTGAGAACTGACCAGAATAAACTACCACATGAAACTTCATGCAAGCACTCTTTGCCCTCCAGGAAGAACAGAGCTGCAGTGGTCACACCACGCCCTCTTGTACCCCCTGTAGCAGTCACACCACACCCCCTGCACCCTGACTTGCAGCCTTCAGGGCACACAGCTCCATCAACAACTGTTCAAACAGTTCCCTTACAGCAGCAAGACGGGACCAGATCATGGGCCTAACAACACCTAGCAGTTTCTACCAAACTTCCTCACGTTCTGCAGACTGTGGTAACTGCAATTACGGAGGGGGGTCAAAACGCTGTGTCAACGACCACATGAGCTGCTCTACAGCCTTTGCAGCAATGATTGCGTGGTGTACTGTGAAAAACATGAAGTGTGCTATTTCACACTATTTTATTCTTTATTTTTCCTTATTCATATTCACCCTGAAGCTAAATCCCCAGAGACAAGCAGGCAAGAAGAGGAAGCATTAGCAACGATCCACCTGGAAAACTAGTAAGAACAGGAAGTCACATTCCGGCCGATTGTGTAAACAATGTCAGCTCCACAGGTGGCCAGCCATCGCACCACAGTCCTGTGCGGTCACAGTCAAGTTAAAGGAGGCTGCAGGTGCTGGGTGGAGGGGCAAAGTTTCCAACCACAAGAACCATCGAGAGCCGAGACTCCAATTACATGCACCCCGGCACCCGGCGCCCCTCAGCCAGGGCCACGCTCACCTCTCGGGGGGCGCCGTCCGCCTCCTCCCTGTGAGTGCAGCGGACGCGGACCTGTGGAACCACCATACCAGTCCCGCCCGCCGCCGCCGCCGCTCTTTGTTCCCCTCCGAGCGCAGCCGCTCCAGCCGCCCCGGCGCGCCGCCGCTACGCCCGCCCGCCGCCTCGGCCCGCGGCCTCGCCCTCCGCGCCGCGCCCGCCGCCTCGGCCTCCGCGCCGCCGCCGCCGCCCCCGCCGCCGCCGTCGCCGCCGCGCCCCCCTCGCTCTCATTGAAAGCAAACAAGCGTCATGGCGGCGGCCGCCGTGCCCCGGAGCCAGCGAGCGCCCGGCGGCCGCCACCGCTCAACATTCCGGCCGCCCATTGGCGCACGCCGCCGGGCGCGACCATCGGTGTCGGCGGGAGGGCACGCGGGCGCCGCTCCCCCTGCGCCGGGCGCAATGGGCCGGCCCGGCGCGCTCCAGCCCCGGCCGGCCTCCCTTCCAGTCTGGTTGCAGGGCTGCTGCCTGCCTGGCTGGCTGTGCCTGCTTGCTGTCCCGCTCCAGTTTTCCGTATCAGGCTGTCTTCTTTCCCCTCTTGTTGCTTGGTATTCCTCTGATTTCCCCTTTTTGTCTTGGAGAACGCACCGTCTCAGGACTTTGGACCCTACACTATGTTTCTCGATCTGCCTGAAGCCCCGATTGTGCAGGAAGTAATGAGCTCGTGGCCGGCCTCAGTCCAGTATCTTAACGGACAGTTTTGGTCATTGCCTGAAAAACGGCCCACATTTGCTGGACCGAGCAGACTTACAACCCATTGGAGGTGTGTGCTGGAGGGACTGACTGTCACAAAGGGGAAGACTGCCTGTCCACCTCCTTGACTCTGAAGACAGGGGTCAAGCACTGGTACCAGTGACCCACACACGCTGCCTTGAGCTCTGGTGTACGGTGGAAGTAAGACCTGGCTGGGCAAGGGTAGGCCTAAGGAAAGAAAGTGGTTCAAAGATCAGCTATCTTGTTCCCGACCAGAGTTCCCAACGGGCTCCTCCCTCATATAGCCTTTTGCTTCTCATCTATCCCAAAACCTTTCCCAGGTATGTGAGCCAATAATTTTTTTTTTTGCTTAAGGCAGTTTTCCTTAATGTAGTTTGAGCTGGGCATATATGATCAAAATAAGTGTGAAGTTGATGCTAAGTAAATGCATTGAGTAAATGAGCTGCCAGGTGACAGCTGTTGTATTAGCACGTTTTTCTTGATTGTCATGAAATACTTGAGCAGAGTAACTTTACAAGAAAAGTTGAAGGTCCTGGCATGATGGCTCATTTAGCTAAATCCTCACCTTGCAAGTATCAGGATCCCATATGAGTGTCAGTTTGTGCTCCAGCAGCTCTACTTCCCATCCAGCTCTCTGCTCATGCCCTGCAAAGCAAGAGGATGGCCCAAAGCACTGGGACCCTGCACCCTGTGCAGGAGACTCGCTCCTAGCTTCACGTGGGCTCAGCTCTGGCTGTTGCATCCACTTAGGGAGTGAAGCAGCAAATGGAAGATTTTTTTCTGTCTCTGCTCCCTGCAAATCTGATTTGCCTTTCCAATATATAAATAAATAAATAAATAAAACAAAAATTATTTGTGGGGACCAGCATTACAAGTAGGGGTACCACCTGTACCACAGCATCTATATGGGCATGTCCCAGTTGTCCACCTTCCATCCATCCTCCCAACTAACGGCCTGAGAAAAGCAACAGAAGATGGTCCAAGTGTTGGGGCCCTGCTGCTCCCTTGGGAGACCCAGAAGAAGCTCCTGGCTGGGGTATCAGTTTAATCTGATGCTGGCAGCTGTAGCCATCTGGGATGTGAACCAACACATAGATGATCTCTGTGTGTTGGTCTCTCTCTGTAATTCTGACTTTTAACATTAATAATCTTTTTGTTAAGTCATTTGTGGTCATAGTGGTTTTTTTTTTAAAGATTTATTTATTGGAAAGTCAGATATACAGAGAGGAGGAGAGACAGAGAGGAAGATATTCCGTCCGATGATTCACTCCCCAAGTGAGCGCAACCGCCGATGCTATGCCGATCCGAAGCCAGGATCCAGGAACTTCTTCCAGGTATCCCACACGGGCGCTTTGGGCAGCTGTCCTCAACTGCTTTCCCAGGCCACAGGCAGGATGCTGGATGGGAAGTGGAGCTGCCAGGATTAGAACCGGCACCCATATGGGATCCCGGCGCATTCAAGGCGAGGACTTTATCTGCTAGGCCATGCCGCTGGGCCCGGTCATAGTGTTTTAAGATAGAAACTTGAAAGGTCCTGAACAGGAAGGCTAGCTTGTTCCTGTCCCTGCTAAGCTAAAGACAGGCAATACTTTGGCCTTAAATAACACGTCAGCCACCCATCCTTGACACCCTCTGTACAGTAGCCTTTAGGGTTGCTTGATGTGAGGCTTCATATGAGGATTTTTTTTTTTAAGTCTACGAACAGGACAGAGTTATTATTAAGTAGTATGTCAGTCACATTTCAAGCAATATGCCCAATATGCATTTCTTTAGCTGTCAGACACCTTTGCAGATAAATGAACATCTGAGTGTGACCAAGGAGTCCATTTGTAGACGGGGGTGGAAAAGAGCCCCATGCAGCTGCTGCTTGTGTGGGTTGCTCTGTAGATTTCCTGTGTTCCTGCTGGGACCCTCTGATGTCTCCCCGATCCAGGGGTTATAGTTGCAGTGGTGAACAGGGTGGTGGCTGGGGCTGTTCACGGGCCCTGTGGTTCCAAGGATAACCTGGTGATTTCTCCCTCTGCAATATCACAAGATGCAAGGGCAGATTGCTTACTATTTTCAGTGATTTTGCTGCATGTTCCGGAGTGATGCCAGAAGTTTTGGAAATGGTAACACTTGTTCCTGGCAGGTAACAAGAGACTAAGTTTACAAAAAACTGACCTCCCAGCCCCCAAGAGACCACCGTGGGCAGCTGAGGAATGGTGGATGTCTACAGGGACGTCTACAGGTCTCTTTGACGATCCTCTGCCTCTGGGGTGAGGAACTGGTCTAGAACCCAGCCAGGATCTCCCTGGGGAACCTCAATACAGTTGAAGGCAAAAATCTAAATGGGTCTTCTCAAAGGTCTCAAGTGTGTTAATTTGCTTCACAAGTCTGTCTCCATTGAATGGGGCTCATTGTCTAAATCTATAACTTAAGCAGAAATAAGAATGCGTTGGCTCAGGGTAATGCTAAATAGACACATTTCTACAGATTAAAACACTAATGAGTTATTCCCAAAGACCTTCTACGGGGGTGTGCATGCGTAGCACGTGACTCAGGGACCTCCAGTAGGGCAGGGGTTCTGCTTTTGGTGTCCATGGAGCTCCATATGATCTGCATATAGAACTCAGAAACTGTGAAAGGAAATTAGAGCATTCCTTGTCATTTGGATACAGGAAATGCTGAGTTTGAATATTATCTCTCCTGTTTTAAACTCCTGCTGAAATTGAATCTTCCTATAAGAGGTGAACAAATGAGACCAGGTGGGCCTTTTAGCGATAATCATGACTATGTCATCATGAATGGGTTCATGTCCTAAGAGTGCTTCTGCTATAAAAGACAGCTGGGTTGTGTCGCCCATGTGCTCTTTCTTTTACCATGGGATGCCTACCACTGACTGCCTTGATTTCTGTCAACAAGAAGGCCATCACTAGGGCTGATCACCATGACACAGCTATGGTTAAGTTGTCATTTATGATGCTGGCATCCTATAGAGTTCTGACTGCTCCACTTTCAAAATTGCTCCCCTGCTAGGATACCAGGCAATCCTACAGAAGTACCTGGCCCCCTATGACCCAAGTGGGAGACCCAGAGTTCCCTGCTCATGACTTCAATCTGAGCTAGACTTGGTCGATGCAGGCATTTGGGAACTTTACCAGGAAGTGGAATACCTCTGTCTCTGTCTCTGTCTCTGTCTCTCTCTCTTCGTGTGTGTGTGTGTGTGTGTGTGTGTGTGTGTGTGTGTGTGTCTCCCTCCCTCATTCATTCTGCCTTTCTTATTCAGGTTCTTATTCCTGCATAAGGAAACAATTCAAAACAGAGACATACTTTTGCACAGTAATGACAGCAGAATGTATTTGAAGGGAGCAAGCAAGTACACACTTGGGCATGAGTGTGAGCAAGCTTACAAGGAGAGACGTTTGCCATGAGATGTCTAGTAAAAGGGCTGAAGGCTGCTATGAAATGCACAACTCTGTGATGTCATAATACCAAAAATGTTTTTAATGATTTATTTATTTTTATTGGAAATGCAGATTTACAGAGAGAAGAAAGGACAGAGAGAGAGGTCATTTATCCACTGGTTCACTCCCCAAGTGACTGCAATGGCCAGAGCTGAGCTGAGCCAAAGCCAGAAGCCAGGAATTTTTTCTGAGTTTCCCAGTGGATGCAGGCGTCCAAGGACCTGAATCATCTTCTGCTGCTTTCTGAAACCATAAGCAGACAACTGGATAGGAAGTGGAGCAGCCGGAACTAAAACCACCACCCATGTAGGATGACAGCACCACATGGTAGAGGATTAGCCTGTTTGAGCCACTGTGCTGGCCCCAATACCAAAAACATCTTAAATGTATTCCAGTCTGATTTCCTTTGTAGTTCCATGTTTCAAGTTTCCACTTTCTAAAAGTACATTTACTTCTTTATTTGAAAAATAAACTTTCAAGGAGAGGGAGAAATCTTTATCCACTGATTCACTCCCCAAATGACCAGGCAGAAGCTAGGCACCTGGAATTCCAGACAAGTGTCTTACCTGGGTATAGGGCTCAAGCATTTGGGCTACTTCCCACTGCCTTCCCAGGATTATTAGCAGGGAGCTGGATAGCGTGCGGAGCAGACAGGCCATGAGAAGGTGCTTGTATTGGATGCCAGAGTCATAGGTGGCACCTTAACCTGCTATACTCATGCTTTTTATTTTGTTGATATACAGCAATGCAATTGGTTTTTTAAAAAAGATTTATTATTGTTTATTTTTATTACAAGGTCATATATACAGAGAGGAGGAGAGACAGAGAGGTAGATCTTCCGTCCGGTGATTCACTCCCAAGTGACCACAACAGCTGAAACTGCGCCAATCTGAAGCCGGGAACCAGGAACCTCTTCCTGGTCTCCCACACGGGTGCAGGGTCCCAAAGCTTTGGGCCATCCTCGACTGCTTTCCCAGGCACAAGCAGAGAGCTGGATGAAAAGTGGAGCAGCTGGGATTAGAACCGGCGCCCATATGGGATCCTGGCGCGTTCAAGGCGAGGACTTTAGCAGCTAAGCCACACCGCTGGGCTGGACTCCTACAATTGGTTTTTGCATGGCATTCCTGTCTCCTGCCATTTCAATAAGCAGTTTTGTCAGCTCTAGGTGATTTTCGCACACTCTTGGAGTCTTCTCTGTAGACAATCATGTTGGCTGCAAACAGAGTCATTTTATTTTTTGATCGCCAGGTTCTGCTTCCCTTTGCTTTTTCTAGCAATGGTTAGCACTTCCAGAACTGTGTTGAATAGCAATGGTGAGAGCATATCAACACACTTTGAAGATGCTCTTGGTGAGGTTGAGGAAATTCTGATTTATTCTAAGGATTCCAATCATTTTTAGAGCTAATGTTTAATGGTTGCTGAATCTATACTTTCGTACATAAATTGAAATAAGTATATGACTTCTTGATTTTGAAATAGCAAGCCAATCTCATATCTAGAATAAATTCCACTTTCGTACTGGATTGTGGTATTTTTTTTAATATTCATAATCTTTGAATTTGATTTGCTAAAATTTTCTTGCTAATTTTTACATTCAATTCAAATCTCTCCCTCACTCACTCACTTTTTCCCCTCTTTGTGTGTGTCAGGGGTCTGTGTGATGTCTTTTTCTGATTTTAGTATCAATGTAGCACTGGCCCTTGCAATGAGATGGCAAGTGTGTCTCCTCTCCTATTCTTGGAAGTAGATTTACAGAATTGATGTGAATTATTTGAATGTTTGGTAAAGTACTCCAGTGAAACTAACTTACCTTGAAGCATCGTTATATTTTTCTACCCCTTTATTGCAAAGATTTGTGTAGTTTTATTAAAGATATATTTATTTATTTATTTATTTGAAAGAGTTACAAAGAGAGACAAGGAGAGAAATAACTTCCATCTGCTGGTTCACTGCCAAGATAATCACAAAAATGGCTGGGCCAAGCCAATGCTAGGAGATTCTTACAGGTCTGCCACATGAGTGGCAGGGGCCTAGACTTTCGTTGCCAACACCTGGCTGGGGTAGTTGATTGATTTGTTCTGTCCTCAGTCCTCTGTTGTGGTACCAGGCGTTCTCCGCAGGTTCCAATGGACTGCCATACCCTCCATGTATTCTTGGATATAGTGTCCACTGCTCAATCTGAGCCTCTCAAAAAGCTCAGCTCTGACACTTGCACTCCATGACAGACCATGGAACCTGCACTTCTCTTCATGGTTATGGTTCTGAGTCTGGCAGTTCGACTGGGGAGATCCCCAAAGAAACTTTGTCTGAGGTGAACCCAGACCAGATTCTTGTGCATATTTGCCAGTGCAGGGCCCGGCACAGTCAATCGCCCCAATCAGCTGGTGGTTGCAATTGCTGGGTAATTCTGTTTCCAGCCCTGTCTTCCACTCGAACCAATGAGTGTTTACAGTTCAGCCTGATTCTGCACAGCACACACTCGGCTCTCACATTAACTAGTGGGAGCTGCAGCCTATTCGGAGTGACCTGCAATAACCTCCACCAAGCCCACCTGCTGCCCTGGTTCCCTTGCTTGCCAGTAATGTACCGCAGAGTGGTCCAGTCTGTCCCATAACCCACTCAGCTCTTCTACGTGCCAATGGGCGTTGAAGCCTAGTTCAACCCAACCGGGCCCACTATCCAGCCCACATACATGCTTGTGGGTGCCTTTCTGTCCAGCCAGGTCTGCCCCTGTTCTGGTTTTCATGCTCTGCAGTGGAAATGATAACCCAAGAGGGAGGTGCCCACTATTTCCCTCCTGGGTCCACTCCCAGATCATGCACTTTCCAGGTGGTTCTGTAGTTTAACTTGACAGAATTAGACACCAGTGCCAGCGTTTGCCATCTCATGCCGTGACAAAGCCCAACCAAACCTTACCCATTCTGATTTATGCTTGCACCAGTAGCGACAGCCAACCAAGCCCAGCTCTTCCCTGATCTGGCTCACATGAGACCTACAGGTGTTGTATCTCTGCGCAGTCTGGTCTGTCCCCATCCCAACTTGCGTTCTCCAGTGGGCAAAGTTTTCCAGCAGGGGGGCCCTCCACATTCCCCCTACCGGCTTTGCTCCCTCCCTCCCAGTTCCTACATGTGCGTTTAGGTGCTGTAGCCCAGTCTGGCATGGCCTAACTCACCTCAGCATTTGTCGGTGGATGCTGTGGCCTGGTCCTGATCAGCCCACCCCCAATTCCAGCTTGTGAAGGTTACAGTCTAGCCCAGCCCAGCATACACCCTATCCCAGCTGTAATGTGTACTGGTATGTGCTGTGACCATACCTGGCCTGACCCTCACTGTTCTGGTGCTTGGATTTATCAGTAGGTGATGTGAGTTGGTTCAGCCTGGTCTACCCCAGACCTATGCCAAATGAATGCCTGTGGGAATTTTTCTCTGGTCTGGGTCATGGTTTTTGCACTCACCTGCAGGGACTGTGTTCCGACAGAGGGGTTTCCCAAGCTCCTCCATCAGAAACTCTCCCTATGCTAGATCTTACACATACTGGTGGGTCCATGGGCCAGTCCTACTTAGTCCACCTCCCATCCTGGAAGGAACAGTGGCCTTTCCTTGCTGGCCTTCAATCTATTCCAGTTCTTACTGTTGGATGTTTCACCCCAGCCAAAGCTTGTCCATACCCAGACACTGCTCACACATGGCTCAGTAGGGACAGAGACCCAGCCCTAGTGCAGTCCTACATCTACCCAGGTTCTCCAGAGCACCAGATGGTGCTGGCGGCTAGCTCAGCTCAGTGTACCCAGCCCCAGTTCACACTTGTGCCAAGGCAGATTGCAGCCATATCTAGACCAGAACTCAGCTCCCACTTTGGCCCCCACACTCAGCCATGGGAACCCCAACCCGGTTTGGATGTCCTCTCAGTTCCCCAAACAGGCCTGTTCCCAGCCATAGATCATGCACGTGCCATGGTGCTCTGACCCAGTTGGCTTAGCCCCTCACCTGTCTCAGTCTTTGCCTTCAATGCTGTGGCCTAGTATCCCTTGCTCATGCAGACTAGTTGGTGTAAGAGCCTAGCTCGGCATGACCTGTGCTCCATCCTGATTTCTATTTTTGCTAATGAGTTAAGGTTTGCTTGGCTCTACCTGGTCCAACCCCTTCTATTACCAACCCACACATTAGACAGCCATTGGAGTTACTTTGCCCAGTTTGTCTCACCCTCAGGCCTGGACCATGTGATCAGTTGGAGCTATGACCCACTAGGGGAGTTTCCCAAGTTCCTCTACTTGACCCACTGCAAGACCCAGTTCTCATATATGCCAGTGGGTTTTAAGCCAGTGTCTGGCATAGTCTGGCCTCCCGTTTGGCCTTGTATGAACTGGTGACTGTTACAGCCCGGGCTACCCCACACCCTATTTAGGATGCACATTCAGACACTGCCTTGAGCAGCCCAAACTGTTGTTGGTTCCTTTACCAGTGAGTGATGGCAGGCTCCTTGGTCATGCCTAGCTTGGCCCATCACCACCCCAACTCTTGAGCTAACCAAGCTCAAGTACAGTACAGTACTTCCACAGGGCTTGGCCTACACATCCCCCACAGAATCTACCCCTGGAAATGGTTCTCTCATGTACAGGTTAATGTCATGCCCCTGCCTAATGTTTTCCAACATTCTGTCAGGTAATAGAATCTGAGCCTGTTAGACAATCCCCCAGCCTAAGCTTTGGCATGGACTGGTGTGTACTGATCAGCATCGTTTGGTGATAACAAGTTCTACACAGGACTCAAAGAAGGCTGGTATATCAATCTGACCCGTGAAGATCATCTGGTCTCTCGTCTCCAAACCACCAGGTCTCAGTACCCTCACTTACCTTCAAGGAAAAGTTACTCTGTCGTTGCAGGTCCTTCAGCATTGATTTGCAACCCAGAAGCACAGTGGGCTCAACATGTAGGTACCTAGACAGCAATTCATACCCGCAAAACCATAGAGCTCACTGCCAGGTGGCCAGCTGGTGCCTCTGGAGCTTGGGCAGGCCCAGTGACAGCTCACCGCATGGTCACGGTGGCTGGAATCAGGGCTCTGAGCATGGAGTCTGACCGGCCTGGGACCTCCCAGCAGACAACAGGCTGCTGGAAGTTCTCCCACCTAGACCCCAAGGTCTCACCCTCCTGGTCCCACACACTGCACGATGTTGACAGCGGGTGGAACCCCTAAAGTATTTTAAATTTATTTTATTTATGTAAGGTGAACAAATTCCAAGTGTTTTGTAGACTTGTGATACTTGCTATGTTACCCTCTCTCCCACCTGTGCTAACATCCTCTCTCCTCTTTCCTTTATTTTTCATTCAGCATTTTCAGCATTCAGTTTATTTTTTAATCACAAGCTTAACCCTCATTAGGTAAAGAATTCAACAAACAGTAAGTAGAAAAACTTTACGATTCCTCAAGAGTAAACTATAACCAATGCCAAAATGCCAATTCCACTGTACATATTACTTTTTGTGACTGTATATACTGGTTATCACAAATAACGGAAAGCATGATGTTTATCTTTTTGTATCCAGTTTACTTCACTGAACATAATAGTTTTGTGCTCATTTCAGCAGCACATATACTAAAATTGGAACAATACAGAGAAGATTAACATGGCCCCTGCGCAAGGATGAGCATAATAGTTGCTAGTAGTATCCGTTTTATTGCAAAAGACAAGATTTCATTCTTTTTATGGCAGAATAGTATTTCATAGTATATATTTACCACATTTTTTAAAATACAGTCTTCAGTTGATGAACATCTAAGCCTTTTACCTATATTAGCTATCTTTAATTGAGCTGTGATTAAAATGAGGGGTAAAAATAACTTATCATATTCTGTTTCATATCCTTCAGACACATTTCCAGGAGTGAGATGGTTGGATCAAATGGTAGATCTACTTTAAAATTTCTAAAGGATCTCCATACTGTCTTCCATAATGCTTTTATTAGTTTACTTCGCACCAGCAGTGTATTAGGGTACCATTTTCCCTCATTCTTGCCAGCAGTTTTTTTAAAGTTATTTATTGATTTTTGGATGATAGATATTCTAACCTGGATGAGGAGAAACCTTACTCTGTGTGTGTGTGTGTGTGTGTATGAGAGACAGAGAGAGAGAGAGAGAGAGAGAGATGGAGGGAGAGACAGATACAGAAAGACAGGGAGATAGAGAGGGACAGAGAGAGAGACAGTGAGACATAGACAGATACAGAGACAGAGTCACAGAGAAAAAAAACCAGAGACACAGAGACAGAGAGACACAGGGAGAAGGAGACAAAGATGCACAAACAGGGAAAGACACAGAGAGACAGAGAAAGAGAGACACAGAGAGACAGGGAGACAGAGATACAGAGACAGGGAGAGAGAAAGTGTGTATGTATTTCCCTGGCTGTTACTGATCCTGAGGCTCTCTCCATTTCTTCAAGATTTTCCAATCTGTTGGCAGATATCTATGTGTGGCAATTCCTGATTATTCTTTCTATATTTGTGATATCTGTTGTAAAATATCTTTCATCTTTGATTTTATTAATTTGGGTATTTGGTTAGTTGGGCCAATTGTATATCAATTTAAAAATATATTTTCAATAAAACAGTTCCTAGTTTTACTGATTTTTTTTTAATTAAAAAAAATTTTTTTTATTGGAAAGGCAGATATACAGAGAGGAGAGACAGAGAGGAAGATCTTCCGTCTGATGATTCACTCCCAAGTGAGTGCAACGGCCGATGCTATGCTGATCCGAAGCCAGGAGCCTCTTCCGGGTCTCCCACGCGGGTGCAGGGTCCCAAAGCTTTGGGCCATCCTCGACTGCTTTCCCGGGCCACAGGCAGGGAGCTGGAAGGGAAGCGGGGCTGCTGGGATAGAACCGGCGCCCATATGGGATCCCATGTGTCAGCTGGTGCAAGTGACAAATCAAGCCTGACCCTGCACTGGCTGACGCATATAGGAATCAAGTTTGAGGCCACCCCAGGCAAGGCTTCTTGGAGGACACGCCAGTTGAACTGCTAGACTTTAAACTCTGGCCACAGGGAAAAATCACAGGATGTATAGTCTGACCTTGGAGGGCATGTGTCTGGACTGGGTCTTTTCAGCTGCTGATGCCTGTGCAGTGGCCGGGGCATGCCTAGAAGTACCCAGGGGACGTGACAGTCAGCTCATGTTGGTCAGCCAATAGACCTTAGAAAAATTTCCTCAACCCTGAAACACTGAAACCAAAAATTTCTCAGAAGTATCAAACCTACGAAGTGACACCCTGTGAACACCCTCAACCTTGCTGGGGGTCTCTAGGGTGTCATCCAATCATTGTCCCCCATCTCAAAATGCTAATGTCATTTGGCAGCAAAGAACAGCTTCCTTCCCTCCTGTTCTGGGAACACAGGGAAAAAATTATGAAATACTTGTCACACCCACCTTCCTTGGTATCTATCCATCTGCATCTTAATCAGAGGCCCACATAGGTGTGTATCGCTCTCAACTATGTGAATAATATTTTAAAAATTAACATTAAAAAGATTTTGCCTAGTTGATCTGTCTACTTAGAACAGTGGGGTATTGCCGTTTCTCATTATTGTGTGTTGAAGTCTGTGTGTTTCTTTAGATCCATTTCTGTTTGTCTTAATTAGCCAGATGCCTTGGTATTGGGTACATGTACATTTACTGTGATGGTCACATCTTCCTGTTGAAACAATCCTTTAGTCATTACATAATGTTCTTTGTCTCTCTGGACAATTTTTGGGTTAAAGTTTTTTTGTCTGATATTAGAACGACTACACCTGCTCTTTTTTGCTTTCCATTTGTTTGGAATATCTGTTTTCATCTGTTCACTTTCAGGCTGTGTATATCTTTGTTCATGAGGCCCCATATGGGTTTCTTTGAGGTTACAACACCCATTGGTGAGCATGAGAACCAGGACTGGGGGCAGGCCTGGCTGGACAGGTGGTGGCACTCACAGGCATGAGTGTGGCCTGGAGAGGGGAATTAGTTGAGTTAGCCTTCAATGCCCAGTGATGTATACAAGATCTGAATGAGACGTGGGCCAGACCAGACCAGTCCACTTAAACATGCTGGCAGGCACAGGAACCAGAGCTGAGGGCTGGTCCACTGGAGGGGGGAGGCGGTTATTGGGTTGTAGATTCCCCTGGTGTACGTGAGGACCAAGCATTTGGTGAGCAGAGTTGGACTGGACCACAGCACCCATTGGTTGGCAGAGAAAGGAGGGCAGAACAAATTGATCAACTATCCCAGTCAAGTCTGATGGCAAACTCCTGGGAGAATGGAGATTCTGAGGTGGACTCTGTCAGCCAATTGACCTTGGCAAGATTTTCTCATCCTTGGAGCAGCAATATCAACAGCATCTCAGAACTATTAAAACCTCTTGAGCAGAACCCTTAGAACATGCTCCACAACGGGGACCCTGGGATGACATTGAGTATTGGGGAGGCGATGTGTGATCTCTCCCATTGTGTCCTCCCCTCCCTAGATACAGAAAGAAGAAAAAGAAGATGTGTAAACAGTGGTCTTGCCCACTTTCTCCTGATCCTTGACCCTTCCCACCCTGATCAGCTATGTAAATATCATTTAAAAATATATTTTTTTAAAAAAAGAACGTGGTGCTTCCTCCCAATTATTTGTCAGAGGCCCTTGTTTGGGGGATGGGAAGCCAGGTTCTTGGTTCATGACTTTACATGGACACCCTGCCAAGTCATTGGAGTTTGCAAGATTTTCCATGAATCAACATCCCCGGTGATGGAGGTTGCTAGTCTACTCTCATTTGTCTTTAAGTAGATGACATCTCCTTCTGGTGCTGATTTCAGTGACAGGTAGGAATGCATCATGTGAGGACTTCCCGACTTTCTGCTTTTGAGGATGGTGCCCTGCAGAAGTGGGGACACAAAGTGGCTTCCTTACTCCAAGCCCCAGGCAGCTCCCCAGGCTGAAGGAGAAGTCAGAGGATGACTGTGGAATTCCTTGTTAGCTAATCCTACAAGGCTTGGCTCACACAACTGTTTCTTCCTACCTTGTCACGATAAGATGGTGGTCCACAGCCAGCACTGCTTGCACTGACAGCTTTGTCTTCTCTTGTCCTACAGAGTCTTTGTTATTGTTGTTGTTTTGCTTTGTTTTCACTTCTTTAATAAAAATTTCCATCAATCAGGCCCTAGGAATTGGGGTCCTTCCCTTGCTCTTTCCTATTTGGAGCAGCTAAAGTTAGTGTGGCTACACCCTATCAGCCATCTTAGATCTCTGTGACTTCTGAACCATCCTGTGTTTATAGCCACATCCTTTTCCTCATTTTTTCTATTGGTTATTTCTGCTCTCCCTTTAGATGTTGGTGTTTCTTCTTTATTATCACTTTAAAAAGTGGTCCCTTGTGTTTTGATTTCATTAATTACCTTCCCCTACCCTGCTTTCTTGATTGTGAGAGAAAACCAGTTGAAATCAGCACTGGGGTGGTGAAAAAACTTGCTAGAGCAGTGAGAGGCTTCTGGCCCAGGCTGTGGGGACCATGAACAGGCTGAGCAGCTGCTGGCTTGCACCTACAGCTACAGCCTCTTCACAGTCAGGGTGAGTTTGTGTTCCCACCATCCAATGGGATTGCCTAATGAGGTGACTTGCCTTTTTGTGTACAGCTGGAAAGTTGTTATCATCTGTTATCATCGTATCTGAGAAGGTTTCTCCCTGGGGTAACTTCCACACTTTGTCACTTACTTTGCTACTTATTTTCTTTCCACAAGTGAACATGCAACCCCTTTATTTTCAATTTTCTTATTATGTAGAACATTATGTATCTCCTGAGTTTTCCCTTGTCTGTGTTCCATGAGTTTTTGTTTAAGATATAAAAGTAGATGGGTTTTTAAGACGAATAGGACAGGCTCTGCAATTTGAATACTCTACACTTTGGGATTAGTATCAGTCTCTGTCACGGGGAGATACAAAGTCTCTCCTGGTCCTTTAAGAAGAATGATCTTCATCTTCTACCTAGCAAAAGTGTTGGACTTTGTAGTACAGTCAAAATGGAATGAGTGAATATTAAGTCTTTCTAGACACAGCTCAAATGTTGGGTGAAATACCTAACCTAACAGTGCCTGAAACACATTTGGTGGTTATACTAAGAGAGAAGAAGAGAGGGGTCCAAGGCTGGAGAGCAGGACAGAAAAAGTTGCTCCAATGTCTTGAAAGAAATTGATGGATCTTCCACTGTGAGACTAACCTGGTGTTCCTGGGTGCTAATTTGGTATGTCTGGAACTTGTGAAGAAGGCCCTGCGGTCCCCCGTGGGAGGTCTACTAGATCATCCATCTCTGGAGATCTCCGCCTCCCTTAAGATGCAACACAGCCCTGCAGGGATCTGTTCTGAGGATCTTTGGTGCAGTGTCCACCGCTGGAAGGATGTAGCTGCCACCAGGAACACACGTCTCTCCCATCCTTGTGCTCCTACTTTTGGGTGTTCTCCTCATCTGGTTGCAGAAGATGGTCATGGCCACTTTTACTGCACATTTCTGGAGCTTGCTCCTGATATCTGGGGCAGACCAGGCCAGGAACCTCCTTTGTCCTTCTATAGAACCCGAGTCTAATCAGGCATGTTTCTTTGGAATCTTCCTCGGTTATTCCGAGGGGGAAGAGGACTCTCCTATGGCCTTTGACTGATCTAAAGTGATTCACAGAGTA